AAACAGATGCTGATTTGTAAGCCGTTGTTAGGCCTACATATTACGGTATTCCTGTTTCTGCCGGAGAGAGGGGAGTTTGTCCCAAAGCTTGCCGCTGTATTACTCCCTCCATCCGGCAGGAGGGAGCCTCATGTGTCACTCCACGGAGTTCACTCCGTCACGGAGGGGGAGTGTGTAGGGGTAGGGTGTAAGGCGTGGTTTGGGATTGGGCCATAAAAACGCAAATTTTTTGGCCCCCCCACTTCTAAAATGAATCCGTCGCGCCTGACTAGCAGCCAGGATGAGCAAGAAAACAACTTCCGTTTACAGAGCCATATATATAAATACGTCTTACCTCAGTAAATGATGCTAGTACATCATTTTAATTCAAAAATAAAAAAATGTATAGATGCCATTGCTCCAACTAAGATAAAGGAAGTGACTGGCAAGAAAGTATCTCCATGAAGAAAGGCCATGACCTTGAAAACTGAAAACTGAGAGTGTCGAAAAGCTGAACGCAGGTGGCGAAAAACAAATCTCCAGGCTCATTTTGAAATCTATAAAGAGAGATTGGTCTTTAGAATTTGGAATTGAAAATTGCACGATAGTCTTCCTTCGCAGACATCATTGCCAAAGTTTAACAGGCCACTGTACACTTAACACTGTGCCTTGTCTTTTTCTTTTTTAGTGTAGTGGAGCCTCACTTTAGAGCGTTTACCGCAATCCGTCTTTGGTGTTACAGTATGAAGTGACTGAGCTCGTGAAGTGTCTACGGGAGGGCGGGGGGAGCCTCGCTGCGGGGCAACTGTGGACCTCTGTCGCCTGTCAGCGCAACTTACATGATGCCGTTTAAAAAAATGAAGGGCGGTGCCGGCCGTCAACGTACCGAGCCGGCCGTCAACGGCCCGTTGACGACCGGCCGTTCTGTGAGTCTCCAGAACACACATATGGCCAGTCGGCCCTTACCCTGTATTCCACCGGGTCACTGCGGCGCAGACGAACCCGGTGGGAATTACAGGGTCTACCGCGTTTAGGTACCGTTAAGCAGAACCGAAATTGTGTATTTTGTATGGGTACCCGGTACTCGGCATATTTCTCATCGGTTCTCATCTGGAACCGAGTTTCGGTTCCCAACCCTAGTCAATTCAGACTGAAACACATTCACTAATGGGGATGGGGGATATTTATCAGCGACTGTTATTGTGTGACAGTCGGACAGTGAATACTTTACATTTAGATTTATATCGTTGCTGAGTCCTGAAAAATAGGCTCAGGGCTTAACAGGTTAAAGAGGCCCTATTTAGCTTTTTAGGGCCGTCCCTTTCCTGTAGTGTGTTATATAGGTTTCTGTGCATGTAAATGGTCTGCAGAGGCTTAAATCCCTGTGTTCCCTCCAGAGGGAGTTTCTCTCCCACACACGCTGACACACTGTCTGAAACGTCTTAATTGGACTCCTTTTTTTACTCCCGTAACACATGATATGCTAAGAGTCGGGACATTTCCTACACATTCCTAAGCGGTTGAACAATCGCAACAGCTAACCAATCAGAGAACATTGGGCTTCCGTTTCAAAGAGCTGTAGGGGATGTTGGATGGATGGGAGTGAATAAAAGAGGATCACATTGAATACATTTGTGTGATTTAGTAGAGAGATACAGTTGTTTTAGGGAATTATACTGTTTTTCAACTTTCACCAAAGTCGGGAGAGTAGTTTTTCTGTTATATAATTTAGGGACATAATGTTTGTTACCTCTAGTCTAGCTGACAAGTGTTATACTAAACTTCATTAATTAATGAGGATGACTAAATATAAAATATTTAAGTTTTAACAATATGCGAACATTTGTTCAAACTTTCAATTTCATTATAAATGTAAGTTTGGGAAAAAGGTATAACTAAGCATTAGAAGAGGTTTTGCCGACATAAATTACATTTGTCATTTTATTGTTTGTGTTTGAGTATTATCTGTAACTTTGAACTATCATCACATGAATTGCCTGCTTGGATTGTGATCCACCGGTTGGTGACCACTGACCTAAGCCAAACTGACTTGCTTATCTGATATTTGATCGGGACAAAGTTTTTGTTAAACACCATTCTAATGTTTCCTCTTTCTGCCCTCAGCATGGAGATGAGGTTTCTCCAGCAGCCAGTGACCTGGCCATGGTTCTGACCAGAGGACTGAGTATGGAGCAGCAGAAGAGCAACAGGGACTCTCTGCAGTACTCCAGTGGCTACAGCACAGAGACTACAACACCATCCTGCTCTGAGGACACAATCCCCTCCCAAGGTGAAACTCTAATCTACTATACACCTTTTGCCTGACAGTGCAAGTTTACCCATGATTAATCCTGATATTGCTTGCAACTATTGCTGTAAAAGCCGAGTTGTAGTGCAAATGGCCAACAATTAGAGATGGATACACAGTATGGATGTCTCAAAATGTGTTGGGAAAAAATGGAAAAATCAACCTCTTAACAGGTTCAGGATAAATAGCTGGAGGCAGTTGGAGCCTGATGAGATAGAAATGTATTCACAAAAAAGAACAATACACCAACCTGCAAATTACATAATGCAGTGGTCAGTTCAATCAGCACAATACAGAACAACTACAGTATACAACATGAACTGTCGGCTGTGAAAACAAACCACGTCATCTGTCAGTCTTTCAAAATATGTAAACCTCTTTTTGTCCACGAGATTACACTTTTAGGAAAGTGCTACCATGCTTTACACTCATAAGTACAGCAACTTTGACAGCTTTGAGTTATGAAAGACATTCTACCAGGCATATTTTGAAGTTTGTGAAGGAAAAGCAGCACAACTAGGATTGGAAAAGTGTTGGCAAAGTGCATCCTATTCATGGTACAATTGTAGGAAAATCACTAACATCTAGCTGCAAAAAAGGTTCAAGTACATGTAGCCACAATTTCAGCAACGACGGATTTCTTAGTGAGTACACACACCCCTTTTTTATGGTAAAAGAAAGAAGTTACATATTGCCACCAAGAGGGACTGAACACTACTTTCAATTGCACAGTTGTGTCCGAGAGCCATGGCTCTTTGCAAGTCCTAATGGGGTCATTGATTCTTATTTGATTTTAAACATAAAATGTCCTGCGCCAAGCCCACACTCACTGACCAGATTTCTCACAAATGCAAGGAAATCAAACCACTAGATTAATTCTTACACCTGGAATTGGTCTGTTACATGTAACCCGCTCCTCAGATTCCTGTCCATGTTTGCTCTTACCTGTGAAAGAGGGCATTACCAATTTCTTTCAAAAAGCAATATATGTTTTGCTAAAGTCTCAAGTCATGGCCCAACTTTCCTAGAGTTCATCAATCCAATAACACATTATTTTGCTAGCCATGCTCTGTGATTTACAAAACTGCCTTCTCAGATCACGTATACTAGGTTGGTAAACAAATTTCACAAGGTTCATGAGAACTTCTCGCATTTCTTGCAGAAACATGGTAATTGCATTGCTAGCATATCCATCTGGTGTTAAATGCTTCTAGTGCTAAATCAATGTAGAGGAAAACATTTGTTGAGGCATCATGTTCCCAACCTCTTCACGGAAATTGATGCCAACATATGTTGTGCTGCATAAAACAGCAAGATACAGTTTTTAACTTTCATTTAGTAGGTCCATCTTAAATGTCTTGGTTCACGTTACCGTTAGTGTAGGCATAAGCCTGCTGGGTCACCGCTACCGTCTTTAGCTACCAAAATCCATCCATTTAATTATTCAAGCAGCTGGCACAGTATGACAGTTCTGACACTTTCCTTGACAGTAGCTGGGAGATGACAATTTATGTCAGGACTAAATTGAATATTATTAAATGTTTGTGCATTTCAAGACTGGCTGTCAGTTTCAGGCATCTTTTATCAAAATAGCATGCCATTATAATGTTGCTATTTCTGTTCTTATCCAATAATGTAACAACAATAAATTGTCTTTCTTGTCTTTTCTTTGTGATCCTCAATCACTTTGTGATCCTCAATCACTTGTCTCCCTTTTCTCCCTTACCCCCCCACATTAGGTTCTGATTATGACTGCTACTCAGTGAATGGTGATGCTGAAGGTGCAGATGGCCAGACAGAGTTTGACAAGTCCTCCACAATTCCTCGCCACTCTAACATCGCTCAGAACTACCGGCGCATGATCCAGACCAAGAGACCAGCGAGCACAGCCGGACTACCCAGTGGGGTTCTAGGTCCTGGGGGTCATCTTATATCCGGGGGAGGTGGTTCAGGTACTCCAGGCACTGCCACCATCCGCCGAACCCCGTCTACGAAACCGGGCGTGAGGCGCACACTGTCCAGCGCGGGGCCTATTCCAATCCGACCACCCATTGTGCCTGTCAAGACACCAACTGTTCCAGGAGACTCACATTCACCTGGGGCAAGTGGTGGGTACGCAGGTGGAGCCCACTCAGGTGGGGTGCCTGTACGTGTGGGTAGTGAGGAGTGTGTCTTCTTTACTGGAGTTGAGGATGCACAGGGAGCGCTTGATTATGTGAAGGCATCACCGAAGCGCCTCAGTCTGCCTAATACCGCCTGGGGATCAGGGGCGGCATTAGAGATCTACACCCAGCAGCATGGAGGCCTTGCCATGGGAACAGGCTCAGGGGCCGGGTCAGAGGAGGATCAGATGATCGCGGCCAATCGGCACAGCCTAGTGGAAAAGATCGGCGAGTTAGTTGCCAGTGCACACGCCCTTGGAGAAGGGCAGTTTCCTTTCCCCGCCCTCCCTGATGACCCGGCCCTGCAGCCAACCGGCCCCACTGATAGTGAGATAGAGAGGGCAGAAGGGTCCGGCGACATGTTGACCACCATCAGGAGAGGGGTCCGTCTCCGCAAGACCGTATCCAATGACCGCTCAGCACCACGTATCTTGTGATTCGAGAAGAAGCAGGAATAAGATGATACTTGTCAGCCAATAGGGAGTCAGGTGTTGGTGTGGTGCAACCCAACAGCCTAGTACATACACAAACACTTAACTATGTAGGGAAAGCTATAATATAACAGATGATAAATAAAAACATACACAAAAAAAGTTTAATGACACCATTAGAGTAAATGATATATAATATAATGATAATAATAACATTAATGATGTTAACTCATGGTGACAAATTAAAGTGAAATACTGAATATTGACAGGCTCCTAGCAGGCCACTATAACTAGTGTATGTTGGATGCATGTTTGTCTTCTTTACACCTTCACCCAGGGACGAAAAACAGATACGTGAAAAAAAAGGCAAAGAAAGAGAGAAAGACTGGGTTCTGTTTGTCAATTACACCTTTCCCCATCCTCTTCTCCAACTAACCCGACTGTCTACTCCTAGATGAAAGACTAATGACTGATGGAGGTCCCTGTGGGGGGTGATTAAGAGGGGGGGTCAGAGTGCCATGTGACTCAGCAGCGACATACTGTATTTATTAGCCCACTGAACTTTAGCTTTGGTATTAGCACGGGGAGCTAACAGGCCAGAGGTCCCCTCTGGTTCATCCTAATGTAAAAGAGTGTTTAAAAAATACTGTTGGCATTGAACCGTGCTAGTTGCCCCTTCCCCTCTCTTGTGTGTGTGGTGCATTCATGTGTATGCATGTGGGCAAAGGCGAGTGTGTGAGCACGTGATTGATTGTTTGTGTGTGCGCGAGGGGGGTGGGTAGAGCTCTGCTGCAGGACAGCTGGTTACCCAATGAGGGCAGGGCTTTTCTCCTGTGTGTTGTACCTGTATTTTCTTGTTTATATCGTGACGTCATTTACCTTGTTACAACTGTACGAGAAGTAATCCAGGCGTATAGATATATTCATATATATTTTCTAGAACCAGAGAGAAAATGTTAAATCAGAAATGGAGCAATAAATGTGTTTTATTTTCTTGTTTCTAAGAAGAGGATAAATGGAGGACTGTGGGTTCTCCTTTATCACATTCAGGCAATCATCAGGAATGCTAAATTATATGTTGACTGTGAATTCATGCCTCACCACTTTGGTGTGTCTCTCTCTCTGTTGCTTTTTCTTTCTAGTGGAGGAAATGGATTTCATAAATGTTGAAAAACGCTCAAACTGTAAAGCACTTTGAAAGGTAGAGTATGTACAATAGCTGCTAGATGTTGCTGTAGTCATACCTTATGCAAGGGAGAGAAAAAGTGAAAGAGATGGTTGCCAATAATAGGGAGGGATATTATTTAATGTGTTATAGAAGACAGGGAGGGACAAAGAGGAAGTGATAATGACCGGTGGAATTGAAGTAATTGGTGGAAGAAGGGCAGGGATGAGAAAGTTGGGCACAAATATTTATCTAAAATATTGATTGAACGTCAGAGCTCTTCAGGGTTCTACAAGCCATTGTGCTTCTGTGGATGGTGAATTAAGTGGTTGCACTCAACACATATTGCAAAATATACACAGCACAGATAGTTGAGAGTACTTTGGGATATAGGCTTTAGAAGGTCACTCGACCCGAATGACAAAAATAGTCAGCCCATAAAATTTATTATGGAAATTTCTAATGTCCAAAGTAAGGTAAATTACAAAATAGCATTCACTCAAGTTCATGTGCAAATAGATATCAGTACATTGGCTTATCCGCAAATGTATTCTTACCTGTAAATACTGTATATCTTTGCATTATGAAAAAGCTGAGCAGCAGCCTTTTGCCCAAGATTGGCTCCTCAAGTTTTATTTATAAGGACACCATACAACAAATGTAATATATCATACAGAGGATTATATTAGCAATAATGTTACCATAGGAGACAACAAATGACTTTGAGGGACAGCACGCACAGTTAGTTGCACAGTGTTGGGCAGTGGTTAGCTGAAAGCTAGCAGTTAGCAGCTCTGGCTTTGGCCAGGCCTTTAGTTGAAGATAGGCTTTATCTTTAGGTAAACAGAATTTAAAACTCAGTGCTTTTGATGATCGGTAATGTGTAGTTGAACAAAAATAAAACTTGCCCAACACTGTTTATTTAATTGAGGGATTTACCCTGTTTGTGTATGTAATGCTAAGCTAAACGTTAACATTTAGATTAGCATGTTTTCAGTCACAAACAGTACATACAGTTCCACTAATTATGTCCTTTAACTGAACCTGTGTCTCAATTTGGATACTTCCATTAGTGCCATGTATTTGTGTAGTGCTTGAATTTCAACAGTGTTGTGTTGCTTCAAAGCTAACAGCTGTTGTGAAGTAACCTAAATTGACTCACATTTGAACATCCCTTTTTATTTATTTTTATTTTAATCGTATATTGCAACAGGAAATATATCTAGCCACCATATTGGCAAGTCTGGTGGTAACTGCCCTTTGACTAGATAGCCAAAATAGCGACCAGTGCTCCTAGTACCAGACTCCTGCTACTTGGATGGGTTAAATGCAGAGAACACATTTCACTGTGTGTGCTGTATGCTCTGCATGTGTGACCATTTAAGAGTGTTTCATCCCTCCAATTCTATTATATTCTATTATTGAGGGTAAGAATTATCCAGTGTTCCACACGTCACTTTTTGACAGTTATAAGTACAACAACCAGGCATTCATAGTGCACTTCTGCCACACTTTCAAAATATGGAAGTCCACAAATTGAGACACAGCACAAGTGTTTCTATTCCAGTTTAGCTTAGCTTAGTGCTAATAACCCAGTTCAGCTCAGGACACGACTGCATGAAAGGATTATTTATGGACGATGTGGTGAAGAAAAAGGTGAAGCCTGTTTGATACGCTCTCTGATGACAAATAAGCGGGAGTGTTAAATTAGACTTTAGAAACTGACGGAGAGAGGACGAGAGCAATGAGCATTTCACTGCCTGTTCATACAATGTGTTGTACTTGTAAATGAGAATCAGGTGCGCATATTTGGCATTAATGGTTTGTTAAACACAAATGTACATTGAATTTTCAGTTCCAGTATATTATTCTTTTTTCATTTTGCAGTATTGTTTGAATATTTTGTCTTAATTTTATTTTATGTAAAAGAATAAGAAATCACTCCACATCTAACACAAACTATTAAGCTGTGTCATATGTGGATGTAGGATGGGTGGGCCGAGTGTGAGTGTGTCCTTGTTTGGTCGGTGAACTCTTTACATCTGTACGCTCTTCTAACAGAAGGCATCAGCACTCTTACAGTAAATGCCCTATTTTTAACTTATTTCTTAACTGTTTTAAATATAGTTGTGGCCCTTAAAAATAATATAATGATGATTCAATTTAAAGAGTGAGAGAGGATAATGTTTGAAATTTGTAAACACAATGTGTGTGTGTTGTCACATGTGGACGATGTGTGTTGTATCAGCTGGGTGAGAGGGTAGAAGGGGAGAGGACCTCCCTCTTGAAAAAGAGAAATTGTTCTTCTGTAAGACCACCAATGGAAGTCAAAGTGCACATGAATATAGGTATGGATACTGAATGTACTGCAATGTATAGGGGGGACATTTAACTGTTTGTGTTTGACTTGCTTGAACGATTGCAATGTCATGACTTTGTTCTTGTACAACTGAATGAAGTTTAAACAGTAGGAAAGCAATACAGAGGTGGTGTGCATGTGCATACATTCAAGTGTGGGTATGTTAAAGGAAAATAGCTCTGTTTTGTTTTGGTTCACCATCTTGAAGATTAAAGCTATATCACATTGTCATCTCTGAATGGGATGATATAGAGTTACCCTTCACTATATTTCCAAGGACACTGTTAGAGCCAATTCCAAGAGTCTGAATGCGTATGTGCTGTATGTTTATTAATTCTAGTGCACATTGAATTCAGTGCCAGTTATCTATATTAGTCATTGCTTCATTAAAGCGTTTATAATTCCCTGCAAAACAGACATGCTGCTTTATTCCAAATGATGGATTACAACTCAGGATAAGAGCAGGATTTCACATTGAGTCAGATGAGAAAAAGTCAGATCATATTGAACACACTGGCCTTTGATGAGTGTGAGATGAGTGTACAACACTGCTATTTTCCTTTAAAATGCAAAATTAACAGCACAAAAAGTTATCTAAACTAAAAAAATGTCTTTTTTTAACATGCTGAATTAACTGTGTACTGAACTAACTGTCTGATCAAGCTGAAACTACTACTCTGCTACACATATCATTATGCCCATTTTTACGAGTATGTGTTTGTGGGTAGAAATAGGTCTACTGGCTACAATGAAACAGACATACATAAAAACATATCGGCAGATTTACATGCGTGCAGGAATGCTTGCGTACAACACAAACAAACACGTCATAGGATATACACAAACTACACAAACTAGGCTTGTGTATACACAAGTTACACAGGCCTAACTGCTGTACATCATGTTCAAAAGGAACTAGCACTGTAAAAATACATTTATTTACATTTCATAACTTTTAAATCAGTTAAAAAGTTGAAAATATCCCATCTCGACATTCAGTGATATTGCAGCATTGTAAATTCTTATCTTGACAACATCTAGATAAGTACACACATGAAACATGATAGTTACATGCCATGTGCACACTTGAATAAAATGTCTTCAGAAAATACTGTGTTTCTGAACAGACTGTAGTGCTGTTGAGTTATTATGCAAGTACCTACGACTACAACTGTCAAACTGATAAAGGAATAGTTTGAGCTACCTACAACGGCATGGTTAGCTTAGCCTTCGATCAATAAGTAAGCACAGTTAGCCTGTTTAGCCCAATGATTACTAATACATCAACCAGGATCTAAAGTGAACTAATTAACATGCTATGTGTTGTTTGCTGAATCCACACGGAAAAACAATTATATTCAACTCATTTTTTGGCCAAGTGCCAAAAAATACCCAGTTGAAAACCAGTTACTCCAAAGGAATACTTCTAAAACAAAATGAGAATTTGTGACAATTTGTAACCCAATGTTACTATTGAGTTTTGAGAAAAATGCCTGCCTTTACGTTCTTAAACTAAAAGGCTTGGATAATACTGCAAGAGTTTTTATAGTGATATATTTTTGCTTTTGTTAAAAGCTGCCCCCATTTACTTAAATTCGTTTTTTGATTTTCCATTCACATGGTGACATGTGAGAAGTTTTCTTTAAGAACTCAAAGTAACACATGGTTTTTAATTTGTATACAAGTTGTAATTGTTGGCGTTTATTACTCTTCATATGATTAGTATATTGCCATTGTAGGAACACAGTAGGGTTAAAAACTCAGCAGCACCATTGTCTGAAAGCCTGGAGGTGTACAGAATCTACTAATTACTATCAAATTAGTTTGAACACTCACGTTATGTACGGAGACCGTTTTCACACTCATGTATCCCTCTTTCTCTTTTCCTCTCTATTATCTTCCTCTTTTCTTACCTCCATCCACTGGCACAGTAATCCCAGGGATGCCGTCTGACTGATAGGTTAGAAAACAACATTTGTTGAGTCCCATCAGCGGCTGTACTCTTTGTCCCTCGCAGCCCATCAAAGCTAATGAAACATAATTCTGATGAAGTCTTTATTCACACCACAGCCAACATGAGCTCAGTTTCTCTCTCTGTTATATCCCATTCACTCTGGTCCTTCCTCTTTCTCCATGTCTGTGTGTTTGTAGGTTGGTAAGTATGTGTGCTACAGTTCAAATGTGGATGTATGTGGCTAACTGGTGGTTTCTGCGTGTGCTGTGTTAAGAGCCAGAAGCATTAGCTAGGGTAAACTACCCCGCTGTACAGGACTAGCTTCAAGGCACTCAGCTGACACTCAATCATAGCACTAGATTACATTTTAATTAATTTTTGTCTTTTAAGACATCTTGTTGGGACCATATCACAGGCAGCTTATATTACTTTGATGGTTTATTGGTGAGCTTCTGTCTCTAAAACCTACAAGACGCAAGGGGGAGCAGTATAATAACATGCAGTAGGAATTTTTACCCACATCGCCAAAATAAATCGTTTGCAGCACAAGTACAGTATATTAGTATTTGTGTTAAATAGGGCTAAAAATCAAACCAAAATGGACACAAGTGACAATTACAGCATAATGTTAAAATGTCACGGAACAGTAGCACATGAAAGGGAGGATTCTAAAGTCTTAATTCAAAACCAAACATCACCAAATCAAGTAAATGTTAAAAAATAAGAGGGTTTTTAAAAAGCATTGGTTTTTCAACTTGTCCATCCACAACTTAGTTACCCTGGTTACTTACTAGGACATTGGCAGATTTCCATTGTGGACATTTTCTTGCAGCGGGAACACATGCAAATCTATGTGGAAATTTAGCTGAGAACGGACTTATTTTGCGGTCTGAAATGCAACTTTGAAATCCTTCAAGAAAACACAGGAAACATACTGTCTGTCAAACATTCTTAAAAACAAAAACACATTTTTTAAGGCTCCTTATGGCTGATTCAAATAGGAATGACCTTGTGGTGACCATTAAAAGGACAGATTGAGCTGCATTTATAATGAGAAGTATTGCACATAGGCAAATCCCTAGTGTATGGAACTGAGCTAGGGTTAGGGTTAGGCTTAAGCAAAAGACAAAACATATAAAGTGTTCTTACTCTAAGTAGGTATTTAAATACTAATATCAGTCTTAATTTAAATTATACCTTACCGAATACATTTAAAATTCTTTAGAAGGTACCAACATATGGGGTATTTAAAAGGGTCCTTAGGCTCAAATGCTGCATTACAACACACTCCCAAAGCCATCTGCCCAGGTTATACTGAATGTGTATGTGAGTGTGCATGAATGTGTGTTGCACTAGGACACTTGGTTAAGACCCCTACTGTTCCTCCCTCCCACCTCCCACGCACAATCTGCCAATCGTCTTTGCTGTCTATAACTGAAGAAACCCAACACACACATACACCAACAAGCACACACACAGTTGTCTGAAGCATACGTGACTAAGGTAGATTCTTGGAAGCTCCGTTTTGGTCTTCTGAGGGATCATGATGAAACACGTTGTAACTTCCTGTCATATAGCCATGCAGAACAGAGGGGCCACAGTGGCCCCCGGTGCCACAGTGACTGAACTTAATGTCTCTGTCAGTTCTCCAGTTCTCAGTAGTGTCTCTCGCTTGCTCTCTCTCCCTTCTTCCTCTATAGCCTCCAAATGAAATCTCTCCACAACTCACCTTTGAGACATTGATATCATTTTCTATGGGGCTATTTTGTTCCAAGGATACCAATTTGGCCCAGTCAACATCTGCTTTATGTTTCTGTACAAACCAATCTTTTGCTCCTCTCTTCACCCCCGCCCCCCTCGTAGACCTGCAGGCACCGTGGTCTTTGTCTTTCTCTCTTCTTTCTGTCCCCTCTTCTTCTTTAATTTATTGTGAATCGATTTCTAAGGTTGTTTCGCCTCTGTCGCTGATGATAAGGTTTTCTTTTTCTGTCTTCCACTGTAAAATTGACCTTTTTTTGTTAACTTTAGTCACTGCTAATGTAACAAAACGCACTGTGATGATTCCAGTATTAATAAAAGTTGTACTTAAACTGTGCACTGCTGTGTGAAGCGATTATTTTTAATCAAGAATGAAACAAAGGTCAAGATTTTTTTTAAGTGAATGAATATGGGTCTTCTTAAGCAAACTAGGGGTTAGCTAACTGTAATTAATGTACCAAAGTCATAATAACAGCCTGATACTTTCACAATAAAGGTTCTTTATGACAAAATGTGAGCACATAAACAAGGAAGCTGTATTTTCATAAGCAACAATATTAACTTAGACTAGATATTGTTGATGTGAAAAGCTTGTTTACACAGTGTTCTTAATGTAAAGCTAAATGAAGATAGGGCTCAACATAACTCCCAGTAATTGATCTGAATAATCTGTATTTACAAAAGGCATAAATGGCTTTATGTATTACTAACTCATTGAGCAAGAATACATTTAATGGATGATATCTTGATCTTTAAGGGAACAGACACCAGTTGAGGCAATTCTAACATTTTCAGAATGAAATATACACAACTGTGAGCACTGGAGCGGTCAAGTAGAGCAGGGTGGACCCAGGAGCAGGAAACAAAATCACTTGAAGAAAATACCTTTAATACCAGATGTACCTAATCCGGCAAAACTGAACAGAGCAAGGCATACAAGCGGAACAGAGCGCTCCATTGTTCGACAAACAAGGATCTGACAAAGGTGACTGAAAACCAGAACTTAAATACATGCAGAGCTAATCACAAGGACAACACACACCTGGAGAGGACACTAAAAACACAGGGGCTGCAGGTGACAATGATCTGACAATCAGACAGGATATAAAACACAAGGAAGCTCACACAGAGATAACACAGGGGGCGACCACATTTCAAAATAAAAAAAAGAATCACTGACAGATCGTGACAGAAGATCACACCTGTCTGCACAATTAGATCTGTTGTCCATTACATTAATACTTACATCAACATTGTTTTATTGATTTACATTGTATACGTTTGATAAAGGACATTTTATATATATAAAAAAAACGTTTTGCAACTTTAGTGATTTCTTAGTTGTATTTCATAACGTGAAACGTTGTTTTTTTGAATGTGTAGATTCCTTAAGGAATCAAAACATTTGAAAATCAGCATTATTTACTGTAAAAGTTTGTTTCCACGTGTTGATAGCACACCACTGTTGTATTCCTTTATATATATTTCCCACAAAAAAATGTTTGAGCTGCTCACAGGGTACACACTTTGAGGAATATTGACTATACGGCATTTTTTATTCCAACATCTTTGGTAAATTAACAAAACATTAAAACATGGCAACTACAATTGGTTGTCTTATTAACTTTTAGTTTGCAAGTCAAAAATTCAGAGCAGCCTTATATCTGGGACTCAGAGGCCTTACATTTGAGGGGCCACAAGATGATGAACACGATAGAAGATGGGGGGGGAAATATTTCTGCTCTCCAAAGCTTTTCTGACTAGCTAAAACTGTTTTGTGTTATTTATCTTTGGCATACTTGAACAGTTTACATCTCCAGGTCAGTCAATACTAACGATGCAATAAGTGAACATGACTCTAGTTGGACTGGTCACAACTTAAAAATTAATTATACAATTGTGTGAATTGTTTACAGGATGAAAAGGTTAGCAGCACTGCTGATAAAAGTGCTTTACTACAACTATACTATTGCAATAGTTGGTTTCTTGATAACTTAAATAGTGTAAAAAAAAAGACACATGGCCTCTTTGTTGTCTTCAGGTCAAATTTGAAGAGTTTCTAAATAATTTGACATTGGAATAAGGGGTGATAGAAGATAAAAACTAAAACATGTATGGTTTCGTCCAGTTTTGCAAGAAAAAATAATGATCACTACTTTGAATTAGGGATGTTTTATTCAAATGTATAGCATCCCGTGTAAATTTTGTAAAACCATACAAAATGTGTGCCTAATATTAGCTTTAAAATGTGTTATAGTATAGTTATATTGACCATAAATTCCAACAAACAAGTCAAACTTGTGGTAATAATTCAGAAATAAGTCGGCTTTCAATAAGAAACAGGTTGAAGTTATGATTTATACTATATGCTTATAAGCAGCCACACTGGGAGGACAAAAGTTGCATAATCGCAAAATCTTGGAAAACCCTTTTCAATTAGACCCTTGGAGGAACCTACTAAACGGAGATTCATCATGGTCTGGAGAAAAGAGAAAGTATCTCAGTCTGCTCACACCTTATACAGTACATTACACTCTCAGTAAGTAAAGGCTGAGTGTGCGGTCTCCACTTCCATTTGTTTGCCTTTTTTCCAGGTCATTGCCCATGACAGAGTTGTAGAGCACTCACAAAGGTGAAATGGAGGAGAGGGTGAAGAGAGATGAGATGTGTTCTGTGCTGGTAGGGGGCGCCCAAGATCTTTCCTACCTTGCACATGGGAGGTTAGTCTGAGGCAGATGGAGCAGTGATGATACACTAATTACTGTGTATAGGCCGTTTCAATGCAGATATGTCAGGATCAGTGTTGTGCTAGTTACCGAAAACCAGTAACTAGTTACCATTACTAGTTACTTCATTTCAAAAGTAACTCAGTTACTTTACTGATTACTTACACCAAAAAGTAATGCGTTACTGTGAACAGTAACGTTTTAGTTACTTAAAAAAAGGGCTCCCATTAATGCCCTTAAAGCCTTCATTTCAGTACTGTTATTGCATTGGAGAATAATACAATCTGTTGATCAAGAAATAGCAATAGAAATAGTAGAAATAGCCTGCATGTGTTCTACAACATACCGTGCAATGG